GACAAACAAGTATTTCATCTCTGCAGTTGCCATATTGGTGCTTGAGTTGATTGGAAGGACAAAAGTGCTTGCATAATACCTCGGTAATCTTTAAGTCATGTATAAACCGTTTGTGCATCCAATCACCTCTGTGATGCTACGAATGGAGTTGAATGCGGGATACATTTTTAACCGTTTTAATAATGTCTAGTGTATTCGCCTTTAGCGCACTATTATTGTTGAGGAGCGCGACGATCTTGGAAGGGAACTCAGGTCGTTGTGATTTCATGGAGCTATGAGTAAAACATTCAAATGGAGTTTAAGTAACTAAAAATGAGTTCAATCTTCAGCATCCGGCTCCACTGTGACGGCTTTCACTTCTAACATGGTCTTCCAATACAATGCACGAACAAAACGGGTCGAATCACAAACTGGGCTTTCAAGCTATCTCCAATGTTGATTTTTGAAGTGAACTTATGTACAAATAAAAACTTTATGACGCTATTTTATGCTTTGTTGTTGGCCACCTCAAAGAAACCCTTGAGTGTAGCATATGGTAACCTCCGAAGTCAAACTCGAAAGACACCCATTCGTTTTCGTTAAAACTATCCTTCATGTTGTGGCATCCTTCATGCTCGAATTAAACTTACACCCAGCCAAAAATGATGATTAACTTTTATCAGAATTCGCTACTTATGACCTTAAAAATAAAAATCACTAAATCATTGTTTCCTTGGGGCCTCATGGTTGTGGCCTCAATGCGACCATGATTTCCATTTGAAAACGCAATCCTTTTCTTGTTTTATGCAAGCAACATCTGTCTTCTTACAAAGCTGAAAAATGTAACGCTGATGCCATTTTTTGGAGAAGAGTGTGAAGTGCTCGGCCGCCATCATTGTCAAACTTTCGATTCGTTCCGAACATATGATTGAAGTGAGGAGTGGTCTACACAAATGACGTGGGTCTGGTGATGTTTTTCATTACTTGGATACTTGGACACTTGGACGGTACGTCTTCACGAGTTGTGCGGACCCCAGCACGTATGCCATTCGTTCCTTTCTCTGGCAATCGTAGTCCGGCGTGGTGCTGATGGAAATCGTGTTTTATTTGCAACAAGGAATCGTACCAAAGACTATGCGTGGAGTGTAGAACGGTTCCTTTAACTACTGCGCTACATACACAGGTTGGACTATCAGGAATAACTTTGGTGCAACCATTAAGCTATCCCATCACTATCTAATCAACTACGTGCACTTATCCAACGTGTTAGATAACCATGCTGTGTGATAAGTTATTATACCACTTTGCTATATCCAAGCAAGCAAGTAAGGCACATGGTGAGTTTTTCCCCACGCTTGAATATTTCCATCCGTCATTGAAAATATTCTATCCAGTATTTAAATATTCAGCGACTTAGTAGCAAAAAAAATCGAATATAGGAAAAAAGAGTAAAATATAGGGCGCATGTGGCGCAGTGGTTTGAGGTGCGCTGCAGCCCACATGTGAGATCGATCCCTGCGCCCATGGCCCACCAAGCATTCCATCCCTTTGAGCTCGGCAAATTGGTACCAGACTTGTCTGGGAGGATAGCAGCATTGGCTCGTTACATGGGTAGGCCACCGCGAGTCATTATGAAAGCCAGGTATGCATTCAATCAACACCAAGCAATGCTTAATGAAGTCAAATGCATGGCGCATCCCTCAAGAATTGATTAACGCCGAGACCTTTATCCTTTTTAATAGCAAAAAAACCAGAACGCCAAGGAATTTGTAGGACGGCAGGATCGAACTCTCGAATATTTGACCAGAGCATCAGATTGCTCTCCAGATAAATTGGTTTACTTGCATTAAATTCATGATAGAGTTATTCATTATTAGTAGACGATGCAAGCCATGAGTCGAAAGTGTTGGTTGAATAATACCTGTTTCACCTACCGTGTACCTATAAACGCTCACCTTTGATTCGATATACTTGTTGAATACTAGAATCGAAAAAATCGAATAAATAATGAAAAGTTCAAAAATCGAGTAGCATTACAATGTTTGTATTTTATGAAGCTATCGAAGCCTGCCGTTATTTCTGTTAAGCCGCGATTGTCCCGAAAGAGACTTCAACGCATTTATCAGAAGATCTTTATTGCCTTGACTATCATATGTGGAGTCTTCTCTCTGGCATTTTTCTCCACACTCGCCAAGGAACTAGCAGTAATGTTTACATTTACTTTCACCTACAAGTATTCTTTACTTTCTCAAGCCTTAGTCTCAACAAATTTTATTCGTTGACAAAAATAACTTGGCAAAAGCAAGCGTTGCTTCCTATATTAATGGTGTAATCGTCAGGTACGGGCTCGTGTGGCGCAGCAGTCGGAGGCGCCCAGCCATACACATGAGGTGGATTCCCGTGTCACTGGCCCATCCACCCTTCCATCTTCCCAGGGTCGGTAAATTGGTAGCAGATTTGTCTGGGGGGATGGCAGCACTGTCTCAATACATCGATAGGCCACTGCTGGTTACTGTTAAGGCCAGATATGCATTCATTCACCTCTAAACGATGCTTAATGAAGTCGAATGCATGAGGCATCTCTAAAGGTTTGATCAACGTCGAGCTTTACCCTTCTTTTAATCGTTAAGCGATCGCTTAGAGTAGCCGTTTTTCGGGAGATTGCTGGCTTTCCTTCTTCATTGACACTTCCCGTTAGCAACGATTCTTTCCAACAGTGTGGCGGATGTCTGAAATCTTAGTGGGACCTTTACCGACAGTCATTCTAAGCTTTGTTTTATCTTTGAAGTTTTTTTCTCTGAAGCCAGCACTCATCGGTGCTGATAGACTTGACATATGCTCGACTCGTACACTCCTTTACCAGCTGTCCACCGAGACTATAAAGAAGTTAATATAAAGACTGTGTGGCTGCAGACTGGAGCATTACGCAGCACAGAATAACGACTTTACTTCCGTTGTCGAAAGTCTTTGTTTTAAGTTCGTCGCAACTTTCAGTTTACCTCGGCGCATGTGGCATAGTGGCTAAAGCTGCCCTTGAATATAAAAGTCGACATTGTTTCGATTCCACGTTAAGAGCAAACTAAACTTTCCATCTTCTGGGTGTGTCATACTGGTACGAGATTGCTCTGGGGAGACAAAAAGAATAAATTGAGATATCAACAGATTCTTGGAAGAGAATTCGCAGGCCAAATATAAAACCGCTTAGCTGTATGATGCCATAAATGGAGTTGAATGCGTGGCCCATCCCTTGAGGATTGGCGGACGTGAACTTTCTGTTTTTTATCCTTCATTAAATTCACTAGCGATTCATCCAAAAGCACTTTACCGATAACGTTTTGTTGCCTATCCCAATCGATATTACTGGAGCGATAAGAAATGCACTTTTGATGCGTGCGGTTTACTCGGTCTACATGTAGTAGAAAAATGGAGCGTATAGCGCAGTGGTTGGAGACGCCCTGCAACAAGCGCGTGGAATCGATTCCCGTGCCCATGGCCTACGAAGCCTTCCGTCCTTCTGGGTTCGGCAAATTGGTACGAGACTTGCCCGGGAAGATAGCAGCAATGGCTCGATACATCGGCAGACCATCGCGAGTCATTGTAAAGTCCAGATATGCATTCAATCGCCTCCAACCATATTCGATGAAGTCTAATCCATAGCGTATCCCTCAAAAATTGATCAACGCCGAGACCTTTATCCTTTAACCTTTTTCTATTTTATTTCATATGACCCGTTTTCACGTCTACTGTGTGCATTCCAGCACTTCTCACATTCGATTGTTCCTCGCACACACGGTCCACGAAGGTCTTCCAACTTTTACGTGCGCCTTCGCTTGCCGGTTCAGGATTTTCACTTCATCTTGAATGTCGTAGAATGCTGCCCGAACAATTCTTCCTGGAGTCCTGGAAAAGCCAGGGTGGAGCGTTTCCAATTGGATTGCAGAAAGTAATTTTTTCCCCAGACAAATCCGGCACCAATTTTCCAACCGCGGAGGGATGAGAGGCCTGATTAGCCCAGAGCGAAATCGAACTGGATCCATGCTCGCTGTGACGGGGAGCACTACCACTGTGCTATACGCTCCCTATTGTGCTCTTAAGCTTTTATGTAGAGTGAACGAAACTTCCTGCAAAGACATGAGCTGACGACTCCAGAAACGTGCTAAGGCGATCCATAGAGGTCTCTCCTTGAACACTTTGTTGATAGTAACTAGTGTCTTCTACGCGACTAAAAAGTCTAAGCACTTTTACGATGTTTGTTAAGAAAGCTTGTCGAATTAAGGAGATTGACCATGGATATTTTGATCCGCTAACTAAGAGGATCACTTCTTCGTGGAATCAAGGCGAAACCACACTGCTCCAGGTCTGTACTAGGCTGCTCGGAAATCAGCGCGTTCTCATAGTCAGTTTGTAGGAGCACAAAGAAAGATGAAAAAGAGTAGATGGAAAATTTTCTCCAGAAAAAAGTCTCATTTCGATACTGCAATGCATCGTTGTAAGATCTCGTATCTCTGCTATTCAGTCGTTTCGGAACAGAACAACTGCACATCGAAAATATCCTGAAAACTTTGAAAATGCTTTATACCATCCCGAATTTATCCATGAATCAGATGTATGGGTAAAATGTTTTCTCTTCCATTCTTCTTGACTGACCAATATATGAAATTTATGGATTTTCTTAGGAAATCTCGCCTAATATCAGTATAAAACTAATCGATGTTGAGAAGAGCTCAGACAAGGTAGGCCATCTTCCTTCTTCACTCACTGTTTCAACCAACTTTTTCAGAACTTTTTGTGATTAATGTCTTCAATTTCTCTCCGACGTACTCGTTCGGTCATTCTTCAGTGCATGCCTGAATTTCAAGACCTCATTGCTTCAGAAAACCTCTTTAAAATTTTTCTAGTTTTTAATTTCTGATGGCAAAAATCGATAGAACTAGCTGAGGGACAGGCAAAACGAAGTACCCGCACGGTGTGGTGGTGAACGCGTTACTCCCCGGAAAGGACAATAGCGCGTTCGTTCCCCACCGCAGACACCTGCGGTCCGAAATGTTGCAAATATCTCAGCATCATTAAAAACATATATTCCGCCTAAATTTAAAAAGCTAAATTATTTTCGTTTATCCATGAATCATATTTGACTCCTATAGTCCTAAATTTGCGGTCCGAAATGTTGCAAATATTTCAGCATCATTGAAGTTATATTTCGCAACATACCCTGCCATCAAAAAGAGTAGTCAGTAAATAAAACAGTTAAGATCTCTACTTTCTATTTTAATTTTTCTTTCAAGTACTTCTACACGAACGTCATTGTCCACTTTGATTTGAAAGGCGCACCACCTAAAGCCGGATATTTTCTTCGACTCCTAGAACTCACCGCGAAATCCGGAGCAACAGGTCAGAATACACCTTTTCTCCCTTACGTTCCTCTTTCTAGATTTTTGTTTGAATCTTTTTCGATTCCAACTGGGAAACTCTGTCTTTCATCATATTAACGATCTCAAGATTTTTATATTCATTCACATAATTATAATCATCCGGTTCACTACGTTTCAAAATCAGTTTCGTCATTTTGTTTGCCTCGTTGTTTTGAATTGCTCTTCAAACCTCTTAATGTGCCAGTACATGTGAAAAAACAAGAAATAGAACTAGGATGGATGAAATTTGCGAAACCATTAGTGACATCTGGTGATATTTAATAATAATAGTAATAATAGTAATAATAACAATAGTTAAACGTAACCACTTAAAGTAATGCTCACAGGAGTGCTGATTGAATGGGAAGATATGTTTCCATGGAGCGGAGAATTAGAGATAGTTCGTAGTACAAATGCCTACAAGGTTTCTGAAGTGCAAGGAATTTTAAGAAAAGCCAGGTTTATCAGTTTTCTGTCTTTCTCGATATTTTTTTTTTCATAATATTGACCTAATGCAACGTGGCCTACTTTAGACATCTATCAGAAACACAAACCAGTAGCTTTATTAAACCTTAACAAAACTCTCATGTTTCTCTTCATATCAAGCAATTTTGGCTTCTCATAATGATTACTGTAACATCCTATACCATTAATGACGGGCTAATTCAAGCAGTCAGTCTCTACTTGCTCTCCTAGCGCGACAGTGTAGCCCAATGAATTTTTATTTCGTCGAAAAAACCCAAGGAGAATAACATTTTCTTCTCCAACATTGGTCAGAAAGCCTAAACTGGTCAGTTGTTTTCTTGTCGTTTGCTTGATATCTCATGAAATCCAGCCCTTAACGGATGTTGTTTGGTTGTTGTCGGTTGGTCGACAGCACGTTTGATTTTTCATCAACAACCTAGGTCGCAACATTGAACTCTGTATCTTTGCTGTCTGATATCGGGTATTCCAAGCATTACTTTCCTTTAAGATTGAAGACTGAGATAGAAGCAGTCTTGGAAGCTCTTGATGGTCAAGGAGTCCCTACTCAGTACATAAAGATTCTTCGTCACCTGTACAAAAATTTCACATCCAAGATGTCACCATTCTACAACGATATTAACATCAACGTCAAAAGAGGCGTTAGGTAAGACGATACTATCTCGCCAAAATTATTTACCGTCACCCTCCAGAACGTCATGCGTACATCGGAATGGTATAATACGGGAGTGCAATCGATGGTCGGCAGTTACATCATCTTCGCTTTGCTGATGACATCGTATAAGTCCAAATATTAGGCAAACGAAACGTATGCATGCCGACTTTGATAGAGCCTGTGGAAAGACTGGTCTTCGATTGAATCTCACAAAAACGATGTTCACAAAGAACGGATTGGTTTGGCGTGTCCCATTCACGCTCAACGGAACGAATATCTCCGAATACTCCAATTATGTCTATCTAGGTCGGAAAATCAATATGATGGCTCCAGAGCTGAGCAGAGGGAAGCCAGCGGCTTGGGGAGCTTTCAAGAGCATCGAGAATGTAATGAAAAGAACAAAGAACACCCAACTCCGTGCCCAGCTTTTCTGCTCAACGGTACTTCCTTCCCTAACATATGCGTCAGAAACCTGGTCGTTGCGTAAGCAGGATAAAAGGTCAGTCAGCGTTATCGAACGCGCCATCGAAAGGACCATGCTACGAGCATCCCGTTCCACACAAATAAGCATGGGATCTGAAGCTCCGATCTGCGTCAACGATCAAAAAACAAAGATGCCGTTCTGTACGTTAAACAGTCGAAGATAAGATGGGCCGGACACGTAATGCGTATGAATGACAACCGATGGACAATAGCCGTTAGTGACTGGATTCCTCGGGATGTCAAACGTACTGCAGGAAGACCACCGAGCCGATGATCAGAGTTCTTCACAAAGAGCTTTGAAGAAAAATATGATGATAGACGAGTCCGTAGAGCGAGTAGCATCCACTGGGCTACTCTTGCACGCGACAGGGAAAAATGGGAGATTTACTGGTGCCCGCTCGAGTCACTCGACCATCAATGGGACTACAGGTGATATAGGTGTCTCTCCTTTACAACTCCTTTCGTAACGCTCTTGGATCTGAAAATGGTGGCATCTTGCAGTGGCTGTTTCATTATTGAATGGGCATGATCCACTGTGCTGAGTTGCTTTCAAAATCGTGCTCGCCTTCACTATCGCCGTTAGCCCAGCACGCTTCTGTGACGTCCTCCTGGATTATGGGAATTGAAACCAGACTTGTATGAGACAAGCTCACCCCTCTAGCTTGCGTAGAAGCGCTCTAACACTTTTGCGTCAGGATTCTGGAGAGAATAGACTCCATCTGCATTCAATACACGAAGAATAAAAATCTTCAAGCAGAATCCGCATTCACTTTTAAAAAACGCTCCAGGCCATAACGGATCAAAGATGCAAAGAGACCAACCGAATGCTGGGATCCGTGCGGTATGAAATGTGTGATATCCATTCATCGATTGGATACTTGGATGGCCCGTCTTCACTCCTAACGCGGACCCCAGCACAATTTGCATTCTTTTCTCTCACGTGCTAATCCCGTCCATGATAGCGACCTGTTTCGAACAAGGTGACGTTGGCAGGGTAACGTTCGATAGTTCTAAAATTCTTCTCATCACCTAATGAAGATGATTAAAGTTAGCAGCTACGTGTGAAACGTATTCAGTTCGCTCTCATTATCTGTTCAAGTTGATGAATAGCAGTTGATAACGTTACCTTTCATTTGTTCGGAAGTATAGAATAGCAAGGAGCGGTGGTGAAATTCTGTATGAGGTGACTAGATGGGAAATAGATTGGTATACGACACTCTCCACAAGAGACAAAGGTTTCGTTATCTAATTGCCATATGTCGGTACACATGAAATTTGTTGCAATCAAGTGCGTCAAGTACAGCGCAAAGATCTGAAGAAACTATTCTGGCCTTATATATACAGAACCATAAGAAGTCCCCATGGCATGTCTTGGGGGTACTCGTTTGGTTTGTTTCCATTGACGTTTTGTGCAACTCGAAATTTCATAAGCTCTAAACGGTTGTTTCTCTACCCAACTTCTACCAGCAATCATCAATCAACGGATGTGGTCTGGGAAGCAAAAATCGGCATTGAAGATAGTTAAGCTGTAGCTGTAGTCGAAATCAGAACATCATATTTCTCTGTTTTTTAGTGCAATAGGGAAGCCTATCGTACTCCACTGTTGAGGTTGTCGATAACTGTAGTTTCCCAAAAGCCGACTAAGAGAGTAAGAAGATCGGAATCTACGTTGGATTTGGCATTGAATTTTCCGAACTTGCGCAACTTTCCAACTTTTCTCCGTGTTGAAATCTTAGGACAGCTGAGGCAACGGCGTTTTGTTTGCTACAACGGATAGGCGAAAAAGATTGACAAAGATGTAGCCTTTTAAACGTTGAACTCAAATTTGAGCTGTTACTTCCTCATGGCAATAGATATTTCTGACCACTCAGTTGTTGATGAAGACGTTAATGGCACAGATTTCTCTACTGTGGCATTTAGCGAAGGACAGTTGTTTCCAAGTTCTACAAATAAAGTGCACTAGACTGTTTTCTCTCGCGTCACCCAATCGGACAGTGTCTTGATCTCCTCAGTTTGCGTGACCAGCTTCTCAAGGGTGCCGTTGTAAATGCAGTTCATCACTTTAGCCCTTCCAAATTCAAGAAGAATAGAACAGCCCTCGAGATTTTAGCCCAAACTACGCAAGCGTTTCTTTGTTTAAATGCTATTTAGGGGTCAGGCGAATGAAACCTTTTAGGTTTGCTGCTTTTGTTAGGGGTTACGCTTAGCTTTCCGAACCACCTCATCTGCATTTTCAATGTGCATGCTTGAGACGGTTTTTTAATTCGCAAGCATAATCGTACATTTATATCTACGCCCATAAAGTTCGCGGCGTTGATCAACGCCTTGTGGATACGTTGTGCCTTGGACACCATTAGGTATCGAAGATGTGATTGAGTGCAAATTTGGAATCTGTAATTAATTGTCTCCGGTCACTAACAGGCTGGCCTTTTTACCGTTCTAAGCAAGTTTGTCATCAGTTTGTTAATAGTGGAAGAATGGGATTAATGTGGTTATCCTTGGGCTTAACATCGAACTAACAAACCTATATGTATTGCGTGGCACTTGCAGCGTCAAGGGAATGTGTTACACGAGCCTGTATATTTTAACCTGGCACGGTTAGATCACGTGGTTCATCCCCGAATGCAGTTATGATTGCTAGTCGGAGTAGGGTCGCTATATAGCCCGCCTTTAATCCCTCGTCCACCAACTGAGGATGCCCCACATAGCCTTACGACCCTGTTCACCTGGAAATCCCTTGCTGAAGGGGGTCCGCAAGTTTCCTCTTCCGTCATTTTTAAACTTTTTTCGTAATTAAAATAGTTACTAAAAAACCTTCCATAACACGTTATACCGATTTGCGAAGTGTTTGGGAAATTTTTCCTTTTATTAACTGTTTCGATCAGTCCTTAAGTTGTTTTTAAATGATGTCTGGAAACACTTTTGGTTTTATAAGCTGAGAACACCATTCTTAAACTTGTCGAGTACTTTGGACGATTTTACCATGCCAACTGCTGTAATGTGGACACATTACCAAATATCGGATAAACTCTATAAATCACCAATTTTTTCAAGAAATCTTGGACTGGAGGTGATTCCACTGGTGCAAACATTTGGACACATGGAATGGATTTTAAAACACGAAAAATTCAGAGCACTCCGCGAAAATGACAACTATCCACAGGTGGTTATCCCTTTTTATGTTAAATTACTAACAAGATGTTTGCCGATCCTCTAAAAAAAAGCTGCAACATTTGCCCACGGTTTGCCGCCTCATCGTAGCTGGGAGGCGTTCCTAGGTGTCAGACTACGACGTACAGTGGAGAAATTTATCCCACTCCCAAGCTAAGAAGAAGCACGACGTTTACATCAAAAAGCCCACATAAAAGTAAACCAATACTAGGATCCACCACCGTGATGTTATCAAACTAGTCGCACGCTGGCAAATCTCCCTCTGATCCACAACCTGTGGTGGTGATGTAATCGCTAAGCCAGCAAGATTCCGAAAAGTGGAAAATGTGCTGGGACCCGAACATCCAGGTGAGGACGGGCCGTCCAAGTGTCCAAGTACCCAACCAAGTTTTCTTTGTTCTATAATTCTTTTTAAACCGTCGACTAACGGTTCATTGGATTTTGATGACCCGAATAAACAAGAACATCTCACCATAATCCTCCATCCGACTTTTTTTCTCACTAGGCTAGAGTGTAAATCCAGTAACGTCACCATATTGGGATTGATTTGCTGAAAAAAACACCTGCGTTATCTGATTTGGGATATTTTCCTTTATTGACCGATTAGTTTTATTCGAAGATCGTTTCAAGGTCACTTCAAGGTTATCCAATATCATTTCAAATTTATTTGTAGGTGATTTGTATTGGAAGCGAAAATTCGGTGAAATTAGTAAAAAAGATCATCAGCCAAGTCGTGAATGTTCACAAACCATTTGGCATCAAACGGTTCCATATCGGAGCCGATGAAGCATTCCAGGTATGCTTATGACCAAAAAGAGGTACTAAATCCTTTTATATTCTTCGCAGCTTTTTCCATATTACTTGATACCTGATGTTTGAACGGCCTGTCCTCACCGGTTGTGAGAACCTCACCATATTCTCCAATTTTCAGAGTTCTATCGGTTTAGCGAATGTGTTTTTCTGTAGCTCTGAGGTCAGTCTGACCCAAGTCTGCCTCAGGTCGTCACCACCACGGGTAGTTGCTGCCCATGTGAATCAGAGGGGGAATTATTACCATGCGAATAGTTTGATGCAATAACGGCGATCGATCCTGGTACTGGTTTACTCTTAGCTGGGCTTTCTGTTGGGAAACCAGACTCTTCAGCCTGGGAGACCCTGCCGGGGGGATGAATCCCAAGCTGTATATCGCAGTCCAACAACCAGGAACACCTCCCAGCCACGATGAGGCGGTAAACCGTTGGGAGATCTTTATATATATATATATATATATATATATATATATATATATATCTGTACTGCTTTTATTGTAGAAAGTACGACCAGCAAAGATTTTTCTTACTCAAAAAATCTTAACAGCAAATGTGGGAAACAAATGTTTTCGACTCCTGTTGATCACGATGATAATGAACAACTTTTTGAAGATCCACAGCTCGCCAATAGCACTTGAAAATTGTTGACGAAATTTTGACATCGTCCGACTCTCATTACTTCTTCCATTCTGTTCATTACCTGGTATTCATCATCGACGAAGGTCTTCGAATTTCCGGATGGGTTCGATGGCTACTTAAGGAATTTGCCTTCTTCATGAAAGTCGTTAAGTTGTGATCGAGTTCAGTCTTTGGGAAATTAATGTCAGATTTCAACTTGTATTTCTAAAGTGACATTACAGCTCAGAATTAGCATTATTAACAGAAACAAAAGATACCGATCTTTAAAATTCTGATCTTTAAGAGGCAATGAGGTGATTGATGGCATTTCTGGCCCAGGCTTCGTTTCTGAAGCATTTTTCTCTCACAAGAAGTTTTCGAGATACCTGGAAAAGTAATTGTCAAGTACACGGCGAGTGTGGGGAGTATGGAGGATGCGGCATGGTTTCGTAGTCCAGATCGTTCAACTTCTCCCGTGTGTGCGACGCGTTACCGCATGTTATTATGTGAAAGGATTGTTCCCTTTCTCTTGAGAAGTTTCCGTTGTATCTATTAATGTCGCCGTGCAACTTGTTGCTTCTTGGACATACTTTTCCACCGTTATCGTTTCCTTTGTACTCAGGAAGCTGTGATAAACTAAATCAGCTGTACATCGCCAAACATTCAAAATTAATTTCTTTTGGTGCACTATGGGTTTGGGGGATCGGTAGTACAGTGGGTAACACAATAGCTTTCCGGAAAGGGTAATCGCTAGTTCGAAACTGGCCTGTGGCTCCGAGTTTTGCGAATAACTCGGCATCATTGTGGAGCACTTCTGTGATTGTCGTCTAATTCTGCGATATCTATTGCCGAGCATTCCTGACCTTCCAGTGCACTTTACATGTTTCGAAACAATTGAGATACTTCGACTGAGTTTTCTGAAATTCTAAATTTGAGAGTTCGAAAAAAACATTGATAAAGCGTGTGCAACAAGAGTTGAATTAGAAATTCCACAATATGCGAAGACCTAACAATTAGATTTGGAATACTCGGATAGGTCTCTTAGAGCGCTTCCATTTCTTTACCTCTTGCCAGCCTTTTGTGGACGGAGCGACCTTTTCTCGGATAGTTCTGGCGCAGCCTAACTGTACACAGATGGAGTATGATCTAGATTGTTGCTGGGAGATTGAACTGATGTCTATCTTGCACTTTATCTTTAACAACTGTACTTTACACATCCTTGAAAAGATTATACCAAGAAAAAATATTGAAACTATGGGTATAAGTGGGTTGGATTCATCGATTTAACCCAAGCTTTTGTATGGAGCATTTTAGCGCCACTTCCAATTGTTTCAGTTCGGCGTCTGCAACAAATCGCAGAAATTGGCTCGAAAATTGGGGTCGAGTAGCCAGCTCGCCATTGAATACCTAGGAACGATCGCTAACTATGTGAAAAATATAACCAATGGAGCAACGTAAGTCTAAATTCTGATCGCCTACAAAAAATATAGCAATGCTCGCGAATGCGGCGTGGAAATGATGGTTATTGATTAGGGTTTTATGGTGGAACAATGCTAGCGGAATAAACGAAGGACAGGAAACTTTGAAGAAGAAATGAAATGCTACGAATCAGTTCACACCGTGTTACTAAAGAGTTATATTAGTTGCTAGTTCCAGGTTTAGAAGTGACACGGAAGAAGGACGAACAAAACCATATTTCAAAAAAATTATTATGGTGATAAATAAAATGATGGTTACGACTGGTTTTTCTGAGAATGATTATAAGAAAAAGCTAAAGACGATAATTGATAGAACAACTGGCCATCGTCTAGGATTCTTGCGTGGCACGACATGGTGAAGCAATTTATAAATAGTGGTGAAGTTCTGTCAAAGCTTGGAACACTGTTACAGCCTGTGATCTGGGATTATTCTGAGAAACTTGAAACAATGTCAAGTATGGGATGCTTTTCACTTTTTTTCTGCCTTCTATATTTTGAGCAAAAATTCAATACTGGCGATTTTACTGACATCATCGGCTCTCAAATCTGAATATTGAACTTATTGTAGTGATTATTACGATCACTGACTAATTTCGGCTAGTTAGGTGAGTAGAAGTGCGCGATGTGTTAGGCCAGACCCTAAATTTGGGCAATTGAAGCAATGCAAAATATAACAAGGTAACGAGATTAAGACATAAGGATAATATGAAGAATGAGAAGTTAAGTCGACACTAAGAGCGTAGTTCCTGTAATAGACCGATGGAATAGTGTGAGGAAGACGTGACATATAGAAATGCAACGTGGCCTGGAAACCTAGTAGCGCAAGAACAGATAAGCAGATATGATTGATGAATTCGTTGCTCCGTGTTGGGGCGAATGCTACTGGAGTGGACGTGATTTTGCTTTTACAAGCATAAAGGTATCAACCCTCCCAATGGTTTACCGCCTCACCAAGGTTGGGATGTGTTTCTGGGTGTCGGACTGCGATGTTCAGTGAGGATTCATCTCCTGGCAGGGTCTCGCAAGCTGAGAAGGAGCCCAACGTTTCCATCAGAAAGCCCCATCTAGTAGTCAACCAATACCAGTCCAACACCGTCCTGGTAGCAAAGTCACATGGTGGAAAATTTTCCTCCGATCCACAAAGGCTGAGACTGCCTGTGGTGGTGACGACCTGGAACAGAGTTTGGCTAGGCTGACTTCGGGAATCCAGGGAACCGCAATGGCTTAACCAGCAAATCTTCGAAAAATGGAGATTATACTGGGGCCCGCACAGCCAGTGACGACCGGCCATTCAAGTATCAAGTAAGCAAGGGTCATCAACACACAAAAGTATTAGGAAGCGCTTGGCGAGCAACTAGTTCTTAAAGCGAGTTTGTGCTAATATGCAAAGACATTACAAGCAATTTCCAGCCAGGTGAGTAACAAGCAGATTATTAACTGTCGAACTGATCACATTTAATTTTCGTCTACCTCAATTCCCTTTCCCACGTTTGACCTCGTTGGACCCCGTTGGATGACAGCGCCAATGTGACAGCGAATTATTACCAGGCAGATAAAAGTTACTCAGCTTTATTGATTATTTCCACTACCGTATATCGTGCAATGAAATTCAGAATAGCAAGTAGACGCATTGATTATTTTTGCACCGGCTTTCTAAAACCATTTGGACAACTTCAAAAGTTTCAGCAGAGGATTTTTTGGCAATTGCCGACACCTTTCCAAAGATGTGGGCTTCATCCGCCTTTAAAGGCGCCAATACTCCAAGTTCAAAATATATGGACTATGGACACTATCAAAAGAATAATCTTCAGTGGATCACTACTCAACGAGTGAGTAATAACAATTTTTCCATATTTGTTTACTTATTTTTTTGTAGAAGCTCAACTAAATTAGAAATTCATGGAAGGAATAGGCAAAGAATTGAAGTACTTCATATGCCCTTTTTTTATCAGTGGTAATTATTGATGTGATTTCTAGAAGATAAAGCACTCACCTGTTGATTCGGTAGTGAAAATAATCTGACAAAATTACATGTGAAGTGAAATATGTATGTGGATGTAGTGCCGTATGTAAATGAGCGCGATCCACATTCATTTTGATATGAGTGCGTGTGACGCGGTGCTCGGAGGCACCCTGCAACACACGTGGATTCGATTTCAGCACCCACGGCCCACCAAGCCTTCCATCTTTCCGAGGTCGGCAAATTGGTACCAGACTTGTCTAGGAGAACAGCAACACTGGATCGATACATCGTTAGGCCACCGCGAGTCATTGTAAAGGCCAGATATGCATTCAATCATCTCCAAACGATGTTTAATGAACCCGAAGTCACGGCGCATCCCTCAGGGTCAGAAATTAATAACACCGAAAGCTTTATTCTTTATTTATCCTTTACTACCATTATTTTTCAACAATTTTTTGAAGTGTGGGAAAAGTAGCTGGTTCATAGTTAGATTTTCCCTCGTTGTGTCTTTAGATGATTCGAAGTCACAGTTTGTGCTACTGTTCCCGTAATAGCTACACTGCTGAAGCCGCAGCAGAAGAGAAGAAAAACACAAGTCCATATCATATCATTTCCACAAACGTTTAAAAAAACAGCGCTTAAAACTCAGTGTTTACTAGACTGCTTATAAAATTTTTCCCTTTACCGCATACCGATGGCTTTTTCTAGAAAAGTATTCCGGCTGAAATTTATTGCGATTCAGTAAGGAATGTTGTTCTCTTGTCGATCATAAGTTTCTTCTTCTGTTGAGCAATTCCTTAGTGGTGGTACAGCATCCTTGCCTGAACTTCTCAAATGGTGAACTCTGGTGTGCTCGACGCTTCGCAGCTCTCTGACGAGTAGGTCACACGCCTCGGTCATCTTTTCCCGCACTTGCCAGTTGTGTAAGGAAAAGATCCGGAGAGAGAAGTAATCAGAGGTTTTGTCATAAAGGGCTAGTCTCTCCATTCCTTCTTTGATGAGAATATGAGGTCTTTCTTTAGTTTAACGTTATACAGATATTTAACGTTTTGTTTTCTGCCTTCTATAATTTTCATGGCAGGTTACTAAGCGAAATACAACCACAACGTTGCTGAGATATTTGCAAAACTCTGGATCGAAGGTGTCTACGGTGGGGAACGAACGCGCTATTGTCCTTTCCAGGGAGTAACGCGTTCACCACCACACCATGCGGGTCCTTCGTTTCGCCTCTCTCTCAGCTATTTCTATCGATCTTTGCGCTCCCCTGATCAATCCCGCCGACGGGTGATTGCTGTGGCAAAAAGATCGATGTGGTTGTATTTCGCTTAGTAACCTGCCATGAAAATTATAGAAGGCAGAAAGCAAAACGTTAAACATTGTGATTTCAACTACAGCCATAGCTTAACTGGGTTCTATGGCGATTTGCGCTCTCCAGATCAACCACGCTGACGCGTGATTGCTGTGGCAAAAAGATCGATGGAAATAGCTGAGAGACAGGCGAAACGAAGGACCCGCATGGTGTGGTGGTGAACGCGTTAGTCCCCGGAAAGGACAATAGCGCGTTCGTTCCTCAGCATAGGCACCTGCGGTCCAGAGTTTTGGAAATATCTCAGTAATGTTGTGGTTAAACAGATAGTTACGTTATTCCATGTGTTTATACGCAATATTTTTTTTAGTTGCTTCGTAATCACTCTAGATTGGCATTTGAAGGCATGATAATCACCGGATGGTCAAGGTGAGTTTCTCTTGGGCTACACATTAGTCGAAAAAGCTTAGTAGCTGTGGGCGAGCCTTCAGACAGTTCAGATCTCATGACCGGATATAAGCACATAATTCGTTTTGTACTGAAACCATATCTTCTTTTCTAAAGACCTTATGACTGGTGTTTTCTATGACTAAGTTCCCGTTGAACTCGGCAGTCATCAAATAATTCACCGTTTTCTTCATAAGCAAACATGGGGCTGTGGCTTCATTCTTCATTGAGAAAAATGCTGACGTTTTAACTCGTTTCCCTCTCTTGAAAGCCTGAAAAGATCAAATTGACTTCAACCCAGTCAGCTAAACGCTTACATAACCAAAATGGAAAATCCATGAAATTGAGATTTTAATTGCACTGGAAACAAAGTCGATTCATCTCACGCTCATCTTTTTCCATGAGTTTTCCGCTCAGTATTTCTCCCGTAGACCAACTGCACAGAGACCAAATAGATGAGCAATGTGACACTTTCTCTTTAAATTATCAGTCTCAGAAACTGTATGAGATCATATATCACAAAGAGGTACTCCCCACTAAAGATCATTTTTGGATTCTTAGAAATTATCCGGAATACTTTAAGCGCTTTGCTTACCGAAGCTTACGATCCCTGTGTGAGAATGTTACTTGTGCTTTAAAATCTTCCTCGTTATGTCTCTGTGTCCCGTGCGCGCCTAGTGGAGTACTTGGCTTAATTTTAAGTTTATGGACTAAATGGTCTTTTGCACTGACGCAGAGTGGTCGACCTGTTTCTCTGATGCATTGGCCCCGCACGCTTTACAAGAGATGAGATAAACCGTACCGGAATTCACGCAGTAACCGTCTCCACCCCTCACACACAAAGAGGACGCCTGTAAGAAACGGCTGTTTCGAATGATCACCAGTTTGTGCACAGGAAAAGAGCAGAAGAAAAAAGTGCCGAAGCTGGTGCGAAAAATAGTCATTCCCAATGGTTCTGAACCTGTAGATCCTCGTCCTTAGCTATAGAGGAAAACAATAGCGCCAAACACCAATTATAGCAAGAATAAGATTCCGTTTATCTCGCCCTTCATTTCTAGGGTTGCTCAAGGACGGTCGATCAGTAAAGCTCGTTAACATCGATTGAAATAAGACTGAACGTCCTAAGACACCACCTAGTTCGCCATCCATTGCGTGCTTTTCTCCAACGGTAGTGACGGTGATGGCATGAGTTCTCTAGTCTAGGTACGGTGTGCTCAATCTCTTTCTCTTGTAAAGCGTACAGCGATGAAAACACTGGTGAAACAGATAGACCACTCTGCATCCGTGTAAAATAACACTTAGTCGGTAAAATTCTAGCTGAACGAAATAGCCCACTAGGTATGTATAGGACACTGAAACATTACAAAGAAAGCTTTGAAGGAAAAGTTACCATCCTTGCACAGGAATCGAAAACACAAGCGCGGAGAACTCCTCAAGCATTCCGGGTAAATTCCATGGATCGGAAAACGAACTGCAGGGAGGAAATATTTAAGGCTGACATTCTATTGGGACATTTTAGTGTGATAGAGGCACATTACCACCAACTCATGTGAAATCTGTCCGGTCGGTCCTCATGTGGAATAGCACTCAGTGGAGAACTGATAGAAAGCGATGTGCGAAGGAGTTGTTTTGTTTTCAATTCGACTGAAATCTAGTCTATTTGGGTTATGTAAGTACTCGGCTGATTAGAGTGCTATCCAATTGACCACCTTAGGCCCTGAAGGACGCGACGTTCGCCGAAAAGTAAGCTTTTTTTGTGAATAAAAAATAATGTACAAGTTTTCTAAAATGTGAAAAACTCTGTGGTTTTCTATTGCTTAAGCTTCTCAAATCAGTGGTTTCGAATGTCGTCTTTCTCTTACAAACATTCCATTTTTGTAGTTCGTTGCAGTTATTTATCTTTGTTTTATTTTCATGAAATGCAGTGTTATTTTCTAAAGAATGGATTGGTCGTATAGATGACTGACGTTTCAAATGCAGCAAAAAGCCGAGCTGTTTAGTCAACCTCTTACCATTACCGTGATAAAATAGCCAGACAGGGGTGCACAACTTCAGAATGGATGCTCTCCTCCGGGTTGCAGCTGATAATGAAGTCGTTTGCTTGGACCAAGGGAAGCACATGTATTACAAGGAAATTCTTATCAAACATCCGTTTTTTCGTTGGTTTTAGAACATTCGAGACCACATCATACAGTACCCGAGAGTGTCCATAGAACACAGAGAACGAAAAACAACATGCAGGAGTGGTATTGCAGAGTAATAGCACTGTAGTTCATGTTAGGGCTCTTCAGAAAAGTCGAAATTTGAAAAAGAAAAAAAGAAGAAAGAAAGAAGGAAGAGGAAAAATGGAGAGAAAGAAAAGCCTATTAGCGACTCGAAACCACGCGTTCATATTTTCAATCAATAATTTTTTAGCACTTTATTTTACAGTTAAAACGTACATTGGTACTTTAATAATGCTAAGTTTTACACTATCTGCAGATCACTTGTCTTCTAATACATAACCGACAAACGTAGACGCACACACACACACCACACACACATACACGCACACACAACACTGACATGTACTAACGAGTGTTGTCAAGTACTGACGCATTTGCCTAATCGATAGCATTTAGACAGCAGAAAGCTTGATTTTAAAATTGTCAACTTATCCAACTTGTTTTTTAAATTCTGTGGTTCACTTGGTGCATGATAGTTTCAGTACCTCTTTGCCGTCGAGATTGTCAGCTTTCCCTCAACAGCTCTGAAAATGCTGTCCGTAAAATTTTTTCTATTAAACAGTTTTGGACCTTTTCTATGCCTCTTGTAATGTGCACTAAGAAGATAGTGGTTAGGAGGAGGTTAAAGTTAAAGGTCTAGTTAATCGCAGTCGCTAACTGCCGTTTCCGTAGGAAAGCGTTCCACCCGATCGATAAATTCACATTATAAGTGATTCAACATAATTTACTGAGAAGATGCCGCAATAAACGGATTTGCTTCTGTTCAGATACGACCATATGGCAAGACTGTGTGAAATTTTGCCTATAGGAACCCCGTCAATGGTGCTAAACACACAGATCGCCCTCATCGGTGCTCATAAAACATTAGGAACATCTACAATGACGGTATGCTCACCTCTGATTTGTCATTAAAACATTAATGGTTGATATTAACGCATTAGCGTGTGGGCGGAGTGGACCACATGCATTGGTTTCTATGCATGTGCTTTCCAGCAGTTTATTTTGCAGCAACGGCTATTTTTTGTATTCAGTAAGTAACTTATCCAACACCTTATGCTACCCCAGATGCAGCACTTAAGAAAAATTTTCTCCACATAATGATCTAAAATAATCTCGTTTTCGCAAGAATTCTTCAATGCACATTGTACCTGTTACACCTCTGGAAACAATTAGACAGGGGCTGCTTCTAGAGCAATTCATGGATTCCATAGAAAGAAAACTTGCTGTCCAAACAGAGTGTCAGCCAAATGGAAACTGTTCTTAATTCTGCATGATTAGTTAAGAAGTTAATACAAGAATCTTGCTCATTAACCTTTAGACATCTAAGTGACCTTCATAAGAAGTCATTCTTTTTATTTTATTTGATCCCTCTTCACGTCTACTGAGCGAATCCCAACACTTCTCGCATCTAATTCATTTCCTCGCATCCATCGTCCGCAAAGGACTTCTAAGTTTTTGCGTGTGCCTCCGGTTGCTGCTTGAGGATTTCCATTTCATCTTGAGTATCGCAGAATGATGGTCGAACAATTCTTTCTACAGTCCTGAGATTGCTGGGCTAAAGCGTCCCCAATTGGATTTCAGAGGGTGATTTTTTTCCAGAGGACTCCGGTACTAATCTTTCGACCCCGTAGGGATGAGAGGCTTGGTTAGCCCGCCGCGGAATCGAACCAGCACAGCGCTCGTGATGACGGGCACCACTGCCACTGTGCTATCTGCCTCTGTAGGCCGAGCTTATTATATGAAGATTGTCGTCGCATTCAACCTTGATTCAACACATTTCAGACCAAACAAAATTTCACTATTTTGACTAAAATCTATTAGAAAGTGAAAATATTTTGAAGCGGAATGAAAGTATGCTTTTTTTACCCTAGCGGTATTCTGACTTTCTGGAGCTTATGAGATATATTTATTTATTTTTATTCCTTCAAAGCTTATATCTCGAGCACAAGAACAAACGAACGAACGAAATTTCGTCTACCGCGACAGACACTGTTTCGCACTGCGTCACTTACGTCTGGAACTCCTGCGTTCCTTTGAGAAATTCAAAAAATTCAATTCCATCTTCACCTTTTGAAAATTTTGACACCAAACATATTTTAATCTGAAAAAGAAAACATTGCCAGACAACTACAATGATGCTGAATTGTTTGCAAAACACCGGACCGTAGGTGTCTGCGGTGGGGAACGAACGCGCTATTGTCCTTTCCGAGGAGTAAAGCGTCCTCCACCACACCATGCGGATCCTTCGTTTAGCCTGTCTCAGCTGGTTCTATCGTTCGGCGCCATCAACAGTCATCTGTCAACGGGATTGATCTAGTGAACCCAAATCGGCGACGAGCCCAGTTAAGCTAAGGTTGTAGTCGAGATCACAATGTTAACTTTTTATTTACTGCCTGCTCTAGTTTTTCATGGCAAGGTATTACATGTGAAACAACCACAATGATGCTGAGATATTTGCAAAACTCCGGACCGCAGGTGTCTTCAAGGAGAAACGAATGCGCTGTTACTCTTTCCTTGGGAGAACATGTTCACCAGCGCACCATGGGGGTCCTTCGTTTCACCTGTCTCTCAGCTAGTTGTGAAACAAGTCGTGCATACGACAGGTGCTACATAGCAAAGCCTGCTGCATTGATCTGTAAGGGTCTGATTTTCCGAATTGTTTTGCTGGTACAGAAATTGTCGTCAGGCTTTAAAAAACAAGCTTTATGCCTAAGGGGTTAATTTATTTCTATCAACTGTAGCAAGTGGCATATCCCTGATGCCAACACTTGGACACTGGCTCTCTGTCTCCTGCCACCTCTAAGATCGCAATTGATCGCATGACTCACCAAGAAAGCGCTACGAAGAGCATCACATATTTCTACTTCATGCTCACTGCTTGTTTTAGATGATTTTTATGGATTTGCTAGTTCTTCGGTATGTCATTGATTTGCTAATTGGTTCTATTTCTGCCTTTTTCAGGCGATCGTAAGAAAAGCCACCAATGAAGCTGTTCGGATCTTAAATTGCGATAGTAATGTTGGTTATTTTTTTGAATTACAATTGAACCGGTGCGACTTTCCAGGTACTTTTTTAGAAGAGTGCTTCCCATATGCTCCTACATAGTTTTTCCAGTTGCGAATTAGCTCTTATGGTAATTAGCACAAATTATCTCGTGGTTCGAAGTGAACACTCAGTTTATAAATGTTCTACATATTGCTTAGAGTAGGTATGAATAACACTGTTTTTCGAAGAGATATGAAATCAAGGGTGTAAGTAGCACAATGATTAGAGGTGCCCTCCAAAACTGAGTGGACTGACAGCTAATTCGATCACGTGTCCCACCCTTGTTGGGCTTTCCGTAGTCCCAAGAACTGCAAATTAGGCCGCCTAGACTGAGAGAAGTGTCCGTAAGGCTTCCGAAAATTATTGTGTGTAGACTATGATTGAATCCCTTCATCTTTTCTATGATTACGAACTCGATCGAATGCGTGACGCGTCTCTAAGCGCCTTATCAATGCTGAGTGCTTTGCCTTCTATGAAGTCAAAATGTAATTAAACACTGTTTAAAGTGCTCAACAACGCCCACTACACTGACGTGCAAATGTGGGAATTAGAGTTAATTTAGAAGGCAATATGTTAGTTAAACATAACCTTAGCTATTTTCTGTATCACGAAGGGCACAAGCAGTTACGGACAGGTGAACTGCGTTGTATATTAAAACTACGCTAAAACCTCTACGGTGCTGAGATGTCTGCAAAGAAGTGCTAATACTCTTCCGGGGCTAACGCGTTCACCACCACACCACGCGGGACCTTCGCTTAGCCTGTTTCTCAGCTAGTTCTATCGATCACTGCTATCAGTGATCAACCGTCAGCGGGATTGATCTGGGGAGTCCAAATCGGCAATGAACCTAGTTAAGCTGAGGCTGTAGTTATAACCGCAATTTTAACCTTTTTTACTTACTGCTTATTTCTAATGGATAGTAGCGCGTTTGTTCTCTACCGGAGTTCTGCAATATCTCGGCACTATAGAAGTTATATTGCGCAACATACCCTCTGCCATTGAAAAGAACAAGCAGTAAGTAAAAAAAGTTAAGATTATGCTAAAACCCTCTTCTGATAAGGTTTGTATAGCTAGCCCTCTACTAGAGCTATACATCCACTAAAGTGTTCCTACCGCATAATTTGAATCGGTCTCTGGCGCTTGTAGATCAGAGAGGTTTTACTGGGCAAGTTCGGCACCAATTTCCCGATCCCGAACGATGGGACGCCTGACGCTAATCCAGGGTTCATTGAACGGTGCTTCTAGCACACAGCCTTGTTGCTACTCTATGCGATTTCTAGAGCTGTGACTTCTACATGTCATATTTATCCCTCATTTGTTGCTTTTTGTTTACATCGAATATTTGGTATTTTGCAAATTTTTCCACACTTGAGCACTAAATTACAAGTGGATAGGAAGCATCATTTCTTCGAGCTTTCGCCGCGTAGTTCGGCTTACAACATTATATGGAATTTCAGGTGTTGAAGTATACAAAACCTTCCAAATCACTTGGTGGGATAATGAGAAACGAATTGAAGAGATTATTGAGAAAAATCAGCACATCATGGGCTGGTTGTCACCGTATAACATTCGCCACAACATTTCGCAAAAATGGTGGGAGTAAAACTTCTGAAAGATTCACTGTTTTATTTTTGATGAGCAAACACGAGGTTGGCATTACAGCATCTAATAATTCTAATAATATAAAATAGCTGACGTTTCGGCGTTTCCACTTTCTTAAGAGAGTAGAAAGGTCAAATTGACATGGAATTTACTCAGCCAAACTCTTCCATAACCTAAGAGGAAACCTTAGCGCATCAATTTCCAATAGATAATGAATAACTTCTAAATAACTACCGCTTCGTTGGTCCAGTTGGAGTACTGGACTAGGGCTTGGTGGAGAGCTTCATTCTTTGTCTGTAATTTCACTATAACTATTTTTTGGTATTTAAATCTATAGATTCTATTTAGGTATCTCTCTCAAATCGCAGCAGAATTAGATCCATGGCTACATATTTTGCCTCCAGTAGCGAAGTCTTTGGAGTAAGAGAACGTTTCTCTTCCAACAAATAAGGCACTTCTTAACTTTCTCTCACATTAGAAATATCAAACAAATGCTTATAAAGTTTTCACCAAACTTAACTAATAGTATGAAGTGCTGAGATATCTGCAAAACTCCGGACCACAGGTGTATGCAGTGGAGAACGAACACGCGCTGTTGTCCTCACCGGGGAGCAGCGCACTTCACCACTTCACCATCCGCGTCCTTCGCTTCGTATGTATCTCAGCTAGTTTTCTATCCAGCAGTGCCATCGGCAATCACCCGTCGACGGGATTGATAGAGAGACAGGCGAAGCGAAAAACCCGCATAGTGTGGTGGTGAACGCGTTAGCGGCCGGAAAGGGTAATAGCGCGTTCGTTCCCCACCGCAGACACCTGCGGTCCGGAGTTTTGCAATTATGTCAGAATCGTTATAGTTATATTTCGCGGTATACAATGTTATTAAAAAAGGGCAAACAGTAAGTAATAAGGTGAAAAAGTTACAGTTCTTAGTGGAAACGATAATGCCTAACATCCATTATAATTCATTTGTTTCTTTTCTTGTTATTTTTTTATTCTAATTCTTATTCTAAAGACAAATCCTTTCGTTCAATGTTATTTCGACTGATGTCACTCGATGGCTCTCTTGTGGTGGTTTGCAACATTTCCTTTCATACTTCAAAGTGGCTGTATGAGACCTGGAGGCAACTGCTTCCCTACAAATTTCGTTGCCGGACTTGGCTCGATTCCTTCGTGATTCATAAGACCGTGTGAGACATAAGGATTAAAAGATTAAAGCGTTCCCCGTTGATCAATACCTTGGAAAAGCGCCGCACATTCGATTCCAT